TCTGCTAGCTTTTCTTCTGAAAAAGTTCATGGTCAGATTACAGAATAATTTTCTTTAGGCTGAATCAGATAATCATCTAGATTTTTAAATCCGTTTTTAACAGAAGAAATAGCAGATCTTTTAATATGATATTCCTTAGCTGATCCCAGAAGCCAAAGATTAAAATGCGTTTTAGGAAGGTCATTATTAATAAATTTTGAATAAGATTCTCCAACTAATTTCATAATCTTTTCTGTGAATCTCTTAAGTTTTCTATAATCTATGAATCAGGCACGAGGATAAATAATATGTCAACTATATTTCTCAGCATTTAATGAACTAGCTAAGACAAAAGAATTTAAGAAAGACATACAATCAGGAATAAGGCTTAATGCATCTGCACAAGCAACTAAAATTCGAGATAACAAATCTTCTCATATAATTTTTTTATCACCTAAGAAAGATACTTTAGAATTTGTAGGATCAGACTTTTGCCTTGCATCAATATTAATAATCAAATGAAGAGGCTAATTATCATCAATATATTTGTGAGTATCAGGTATTCTATAAACTTTACTAGGATAATCGATCATTGTATAACCTTTTCCTGATATCCAAATTATATATTGAGAATGAATCTCTTCAGGTTGATATACATCTAAAAGTGCAATATCATTTTTATCAATATGGCCATGACTCTTTAGACTCATCCCTTTGGATCTGGATGCAAGCCAGTATTTATAAAATGTATATTCTTTATGGCCAAGTTTATAATCAAGATCTATTAAATCCATAAAAAGCCTTTTTACTTTATTATATTTGGCTAACTTTTGATTTAAGCACTGTTGCTATAATAATTTATGAAGACATTTTTTTGCTTCACTAGACAAACTCATTTTATTGATTTGTATATATGTTATTTATATATGTACATTATTTGATTTGACAAAAAGTATATAATACATTGGTTTATCAACTTATAATAAAAGTGACATAAAAAGTTTAATTCAAAAAATAATTATTTCATATATGCAAAATTTGAAAATTATTATTAGTAATGGCATTCTATTCTTGCCCACATATTTATATTGATGGATGAATTTATGAAAAAGATTATTATCGATAAGAGGGTTATGCTCTTTATTAGAAAATGCAAGTATGAATTTCTTGTGAAGAATGTGGCACACCAACTGCCTCTACATATGGTATGTGTATTAAACATGCTGGAAAATATCATAACAAATCAAATTATCATAAAAAGAGGCAAGCTGAATTACTCACAAAATATAATCATGAGAATAAATATTCGCTATATGAGACATAAAATACTATAAAATTAAGTGAAATATCTTGATATATTGTTATAGGGAATTTTTCTTGGCATCTGCATTCCAAAATAGAATGGAATCATGTATTTTTTTCTGGCTTCAAATATATGCAAGAAGGCAGGATTGTGATGAGCCAAATAGATCTAAATATAATGCATGCAATAAACATGTGGAAAAATATAAAAGTAAAGAGAATTATGACAGAAAAAAGCAGGATGAGTTATGTGCACAAATTACCATGTTTAAGAATTATATATCTGACTTCCCCGATTCTATGCACGAAGTCTAATCATATACCTGGCATATGTATATATTGATTATTTTTTCCAGGACCTCTTTAAGTAATGTTATATTCTCTTTGATGCCTTCTATATTTTTGGTAATTTTATTATGTAAAGCTACGGTTCCAAGACTTTTGATCGAACTCGTGTCTTGTTCGCGTCCATTTTCTGATAGAATTACAATAACCACGGCCCATTCAATTTGAGCATAGATATATTGACCCAAGATAATTAATTTCGAATTGAAAAAATAAGTAGGTTAATGTATAATACAATCTACTTATCGATATATATTATTTACATACCTATCATGGCAACTGTCCGCAAAACTAGAAAACCCAAAACTAATAGTTTTACCTCCATTTTAGATCAGATCCTCAGTAAATATAACCTATCGGCCGAATCAAACCCGCTTCAATTACGTGCTCATGCCGATGAGCTTGATACTATGCTACCCGATTGGAAGGCTCGTAAAGATGTGAAAGAGGCTCTTCGCCGGCGTCTATTCAAAAACAATCAAATAGAAGCTCTTGTACCAGACAAAAGGGGGAAAAAACTTACTATCAAGGAAAGAGCTCAATATTGTGCAAAAACTGAAGATGTGTGGGATATTTGGTTACATGCTTTAGACTTAGCTGTGCCAAAAAATAATACAGATAAAGCGATTGTGGCGGCCAGTTCTCGTGTTTCGCAATTTCGTAGAGAGTTAGCAGAAGCTGGGGTTGATTCCGAGCAAATTGATATATATGCCAAATTGGCAGAAGTTACTCGAGCTTCTAACGAAATTCAAAGAGGCAACTCGAACAGCGATTATCCAATCCACCTAAAACTCCCAAACACTTTTCCTTAGAGGAAGGACTTAGAAGAATTCAAAATATCAATACTACTAAAATCCCTACTATGCAAGATCTTGCAGATGTAATTATGATGTTGAGCATGAGACCTGCCGAAGTTGCTACTCTTCGTATTATCCATTATGAACCTGGTGAATCGAATCCTCCCGAATGGTTCAAGCCTGGTTATTCTTGGTATTGTACCGGGTATATTAAAAATAAAGGAGAGGCAAAAAATAATCCTGAACCTCGGCAATTTCTATCCATGGAAAAAAATCCAGAACGTGCAAAAGAATTGCTTACCTGGATCCAAGATGCAATAGCAACTGGAAAGTTACGCAATCCTGTCTATAGTATTAATGGAAAACGCAGTACAGGAGTATTTAGTAAATTTTTAAAACCATACGGTATTACAGCCAAAAGATTAAGAAAAATCGGAGGTAAACATGCTTCTAGAGTTCATGGTGGTCAAAATCCAACTTCGCAACATCTTGAATTCCTTAGCAGAATTGCAATGAGACATAAGATAGACCGTTTTGATTCTGGAAAGTATTATGCTGAGGGTGATACTTCCGATTCTGACCTTGATTCAGATCCAGAGCCTGAACCAGAAACTCGAGCTTTCACACCCAAGCCAATTAATGAGCATACTTCCACATCTGAAATCGAGGATATCTAGATTAGTTCATAACTTATCTATTTGGAACATGTCAACAAAAGCCCGTGATCTCATATATTTACACGAAAATCCGTGATAATTAGTGATATATTTACATTAAGAAGACTTCACAGATACAATTCGTAACTATATAACTATTAGACTATCTCATCTGGTAATGGATCTTCCGCCTTCAATCCTCGTCGGGCGCGCGTCAAATCTATTAAAAATAAAATGTTAGTATTACTTATACTACACGGATTAACCATAAATGAACTATTTACCGATTCTTCCTCGCCTCTTATCACTAGCCTTAACAGGTACCTCAGTTTGACTTTTTTTTGGTTTGGTAAGTCGTATCCGGAAGTTCGAATCTTGAGCATTATTCAAGTTTTGATGAGAGATAGTAAGATCACTATGAATGGGAGTGGAGTCGTACTGATGGTGGAAAAACGTTCCATGAATAAAGTAAACGATGCTGTGCCTTATCCCTCGAGTTACTGGGAAATTTCCGTGCAATAAAAAACGCGATGAAAACGCAACGATTTGTCCCGGACGAAGTGGAACGATAATCTGGAGTTGTGGGAAGCACAGTTCACCTCCCTCGAAGTCACCTAAAGCAATCAAGCAACATAAGGAATTTGGTTCGTCGTGCTCATCCCAGTGATAGTCACTGATCGTATTGAAATTAATCGCTATCATAGGGAAGACGCCGAATGATTTAGGAGCGAAAGGCCAAGATAAATTTCTTAACTTCATATACATCTCCCTGTAATTATCATAAAGGAACTGGTTGACAGTATCTGATAATGGTTTGAGGTTTAGAAGTAGATTATTTACACATTCCTGGTGATCGATGTTGTGGGAGCTGGCAGTATTCGAGCTGGTATAGGGAAGAGGATTATATAGAGTGTACGCGCCAAAGTGCTCGATGAAATTTGACCAGAACTCGTCACTCCGATGCGAAGGATGATTTAGAGTATGATAATAATATTCATTAACGGCACTGGTTGCTTTCGTCCCGGCGTTTTGATCATTAAGATTTTCAAGATGGACTAAGGTTCGTCTATCCATGTCTGTGATACATTCAGGTTCCGATATATAGTGAATTTGCACCAACCCGTCAAGAGAGCGAAAATTATTACGAATGGATATGATCAACCTGGCTTTTTCTTTCCGCGTGTTGCGTGCGACGGCAGTATTAGAGATGGCATGAAAATCTTTATTATCTCGAACGTTAAGAGAATGTCTGAGCTTACTCCACTTCAATCTAAGGTGGTGCCGCACATGTTTTCTTTTTATTGGTCCATCAGGTCGTTTAATCCTAACCACCGACCGAAGGCAACCCATAATCGTTTATTAGAATCTGTGACGTGTAGGTTATTGTTCTTTTCTACTTCGTTAATAATATCAGTGTGTACAAGTGAAAAAAAATCTTCAGGGATTTCAGTTGATTCGAGAGAACTACTATATGGGTCGGATCTTGATTCCCTAATTAACGTCTCAATCAATAGATCTCGTGCTGAAATATTCCGTTGAGTTTTATTTTCTTTAGAGGATATACGATCGGAGAAAGAAAGAGGAACACTTATCCACTCCTTCAAATAATAAGCTTTATCGCGGTGAGATAGGTTACGGGTTGCGTGCTGAGTTCGGTGCTATTCATCATTAAAATAGTGTGTTAACTAACTTACTACAGAGATTTTTTCCTGATAAGATACATTTGTGGAACGAACGAGTCGCGTAACCAAAGTGCTAAGCAACCAACCGAATCGGAAGGAAATTGTGCGCATGTTCGATCAGACAACTCACCGAAGTAAACTTGCGACAAATAGTTACGCAACCCTCTTATCAACACAAATGCAACCTAACAGAACATACTAGCATTCGTACAAAGGTACCAATTCGAAGATAAAAAGTATTATACCCTTAGCGGATCGAAGATAATATCAGAATCAACAAGAGGGCCAGTGAACGATGGTACGTCTTCCGATTTGTAAAATACCTCAGCATGTTCTTGTTCCCACTTGAGTTTCTTATTTTTATTATATCGGAGGCGTCGTGATATTTTCCTTTTCGCATCTGGTACATCCGATGTGGCGGTTTCTTCTCTTCCCTTATTGTTGGATGACATAAGTACTAAGTTTATAGTGTATTACTAATAGACAGGGAAATACAAAAGCAACACTATTCGACGAGCCGTTAGGAATAATTCCCTAGTGTCTAAAGACATATAATTATATATGATAATTCAACCACCAGGGTCGGCTTTATTGATATATGAGAAATAAAATACATGACGCTCCAATAATATAAGGTAAGATTACAAAAATACCCAGAATAATCGTTAACTATCTTCTTTATCGGAAGATACTGTTGAACTTCGCCTTTTAAGTCTTTGAGATCTAGCTTCGGGAGAATGGTATAATAGCGACATGTTTATAATTATAATATTTCTCAAATTTAAAAGGGCTTCAATAAATTGGAATACATCTTCACTCCCAGTTGGGCGTATGGGAATTTTAACTGAATATAAATGATAAAGCCGGTGTATATCATCCATATCTTTGATAATAATATTGAAATGGAACATATCCCCAGCTATTTGTACCCCGGCAATCCCAAACTCATTTTTATCGGGCCTGGATCCACTATAAACCCAATAAAGCCCATCGTTCATCTCCCGCCATAGCTTTACTTCATCATCATCTTTTTTTTGTTGAAGACATATTAACCGGGAAGATTCTACAAATATAAGTTCGTATAACTTACCTTTACGTTCTTCTATAAACATTATATCAGGCCGTTTACCCTGTTTTCCCTCCCCTTTTCTATCAGCACTAGCTTGGCTTTGGCGTTCCGCTCTAATTTAAAAAATAAATTATGAAGCTAGAAAGGTACTATGAAAGCAGTATATATACTACGAAAAATCTTACGTGCTAAGAAAGGCGGTATTCCTTATTGGGAGTTTTTTTAATGATACTCGGAGTAAAGGAACGATCACATCCGTCACATAAGTTCCTTCACTTTGTAATTTTGCAAACTTTCGATCGAATGCAGGGTTTCTCCAGATATCGTTTAAAGATTCTAAAATCTCAGTAGAGATGTCCGTTAATTCCTCATTTGTTTCTCTCCAAGTATGGTCATGTAGATATTTTGGTGGAGGGATTTCGATCTCATCTTTCTTAAAGTCTTCTACAAATGCATTACATATCTCTCTGATAATGGGCGGTGCATCCATTTTCATCCGACGCAACGGCTCCATGAAATTATGATAAATATTCCCGGGTAAATTTCGCACAAAAGATGATTTATCGCTAATTACTTGGCTGGCAAATGGATCTTGCCATCTTAGATTATCGGCCTCCACATGATCTAAAAAATTATAAAGTTCCACGGCAAATGGAGACGATTTCCCCTAAAATACAAATATATTTATCTTTAGAAAGCTGATTTTATTAGAATATTGATATTTATTTACATACCTTAAGTTTTCCTTTTAATTCTCTCATATTTTTCTTGATTTGTTCCTTATTAATTTGCTCAATTTCTTTCGCTGTTTCGATATCACGAAGGCTACATACACCTTCAAAGGCAATATCAAACTGGCGCATAAAAATATTATATTAGTTCTTATCAGTATAAGTAATCTATTCGCATTAATAAAAAACCACGAGCTCGTGTCATCAGAGATGTATACAAAGTTGCTTTCTCTGCGTGGCCTGCACATTAAAAACAACTCTGGTTTCTACATATAAATTTTTAAAACTTGCAAGACAAAGCCAGAGCACCCCCATGCGTTGGTGAAGTTGAATTCAGTACTAGCAGGCATCGAGTACCCAGAGTAACCTCATAATTTTTAGAGTTGAATCTAAAATATTACGTTGAATAGGAACTCCACAGACTAAGTCTCACAAATTTAAAAAACTTATTGGAAAGAAGCGCCACTCATCATTTGCCATAAATATGAATAAAAAAATAATTTAACTAACCTGTAGAGAAACAGTAAGAAGTTTATTTTGCGCTTCTTGGGGGTATTCATTTTTCGCTAATGAAATAGCATCATTTACTATACTTCTTAAATTATCTTTTTCTATCCATGGATCTTCCTCCATAGCTTGATAGACGACAGAAAATGCGGTAATATGTTCCAATGGGGATGTAATAAGAAAATTAAAAATTTTTCCAGATAATCCGCTAGACATTTTTCCGTAGTTGAAAGGTTAGATATTAATGTAAAAACAGAGTTTTAAAAAAAGCGGTAGCAATCACTGAAAGTGACAAACAACCACAATGCAAATATACTGTCCTTTTAAAACGTTTCCTCCGCTCATTTCTATTCTCATTTAGGTATGGGAGTAGTGGGCTCGGAGAGCCATTGCCTTGCAATAGATTCAGGGAATGTGAAACTCGAGCGATGCAGGCCCATGGGCATTTACTAAGTAAATATGCACAGCGAAAAAACTTTTCACAAAGAAATTGCATATACCACGAGCTACCGTAAACCGCTGACCAAAAGCCCCGGGGTACTTAACATTTTCACCCTATTTAGTAGGTACTTTACATAGGAGGGTACATTGGTCAGAAGGGGGGTACAACTGTGTATAGTATCCGGGTATTACACTTGGGTATTATATATTTTAGGAATACTTGTAGATCACAAATTTTTAATTGCATACACGTAAAAAAACGTGCTTTTTCATCAAAAAATGATTCGTGCAAATAAACCAAGCAAAAGAGCAAGAGCAAGACCTACTCAAAAATTGCATCGATCTTGGTGTGCCAGAGAAAAGCTAATGATTCTTCATTATCTTCAACACTATAAAAGTATCTGTGAAACAGCAAAAAAGTTTGGTATTGAGTTCAAACAAGTACGCGACTGGAAAAACAAGATACAAGAATTAAGATCTGTAGCATCTCATATTTTAAAACTTCATAAAGGAAAGCCAGCTGCATATTCAGAATTAGAAACATTTTTGGCTGATTGGATTCAAGATATGTGTAATTCTGGAAAAGCAGTTCAAAGAAAGATAGCAATCCAAAAAGCTATGTCTCTTGCAGCAACAAATGAATGGAAAAATCATTATCCTAGAATTCAAGATTTCAAATTTTCAGAAAAGTGACTTGATGCTTTTATGACTTGCCATAATTTATCTACTCGATGATGAACTACTATTGCTTAGCATCTTCCTGCTGATTTAATTGAAAAACAAGAAAGTTTTTTAAGCTTTGTTCTCTATCGTTGAATTCAACATAACTATCCTTTGAAATTTATTGGCAATATGGATGAAACTCCATATACATTTGATCATCCAGTTGTAACAACAATTGACCAATGTGAAACTAAAACTGTTAGTATTCATATAACTGGTAATGAAAAAAGAAATTTTACAGTGATTTTAGCTTGTATGACAGATAGCATAAAATTATCATCTTTGTGCATTTTCAAATTGAAAAAAGTTTCATGAGAAATCTTTCCTAAAGAGGTTTTTGTTTGAGCTAATGCAAAAGGATGGATGAATGAAGAAGAAATGTTATGATGAATTGAAAAGGTGTGGACCAAAAGAAATCTCTATGGAAATTCACGATCTCTTCTTGTTCTAGATTCCTTTAAAGGACATCTAGTAGATAGTGTAAAATGATGATTTGTTAAGAAAAACATAAATATTGTCATAATTCCTGGAGATTTGACCTCAAAATTACAACCTTTAGATATTGCAATTAATAAGTGTTTCAAAGCAAAGGTAAGTTTATTCTTTTTTACTATATTAATATTATGTATGATATTAATTTATTATTTTTAGATGCATGAGTTATATAATGATTGGATATTACAAGACATACATCAACTTACTGCAGCTGGTTGAATCCAGAAATCATCCTATGTCAAGTTAACAAAATGGATCAAAACTGCGTGGGATGCCATTGATCTTGATCTCATTATGTGAACATTTAAATATTGTGGAGTTTTAACTGAAATAGATGATTCAGAAGATAATTTATTATTTGATTATGATCAGGTAAGCAGTACAACCGAGGATTATACAATGATAAATATTACTCAAGAGAAAGAAGAGAAAGCAAATGTGGATTTAAATTATGATTTAGAGGATGAGTCATATTAAAATAATTAGAATAACAAAATAAGTGAAAGTCTATCTCAAATTGTTAGTGTAGATAAAGATTTATTGAATGATGCAATAGGTAATGTAGATAAAGATTTGTCACGTAATACATATGGTGTAATAGGTAATACGAGTGGAAATTCATATTAAAGTTTTAGTGATGAGAAAGAAATTGAATATTAATATTTTATTATATTATCAATAGGCTTTTTGTATATATGTAGAATATCGAATATTGCATTCTTTTTTCTTTTTACTCTAATAATAATAATTAGGTATGATCATAATGAGAATACTTTACAAGCTGTTGCACTATGCTTAAATTTCTAAGCTATCTACTATGTTTAGTATCTGGGATACTTGATAAATCATACTTAAATTTTTAATACATATATTATGCATAGTACCCAGGTACTTTACAAAAATAGGGTGCCAAAAAGGGAGAGGGTACTTTAGTCAGAGAGATACTTTGGTCAGTGGTTTACAGTAATATAATTAATTAGAATATAAAAGTATAATTTAAATAAAGATATAAGTATTTTAAAAAGAAAAAATAATAAATAAAAATAAATTAATTTTATTACTGAATTATTTTTCAAGTATTTCTAAATTATTAATAAACTATTTGTAAACTATTTCTAATTTTAAAGTTATTTATATAATTATAATCTTGAAGTATTACTAAATTATTGCAGAAAGATTGCTAAATTATAATTAAATTTATAATTAATATACTAATTAAATTATTTGAAATCACATATTTTTCAAAGATTAACTGATTGATCAAAAATTTCAAGTTTAAAAAATTATGAAATTAAAGAAATTTATATTATTATAATAATAATATTATCTTTTTTAATAATATATTTTAAAAAAAGCTAATTTTATTAAAAGTATTGTAACCAATTAGCTTATTCATGTGGCGCAGTAGACGTGGCGCAGTAGACGTGGCGCAGCATATGGCGCAGTCGCAGCACGTGGCGCAGTAATCGCCGATCACTACTAAATCAGGTGAATAAGTAATTTATATTAATTAATTTAATTTATTATTAATTCTATTTATAATTCATATTATTACCCGTATTTAGCC